GATTCAATTTTGAGCTGAAATTTGGTATGCATAAACTAGACTTAATGAGGAACATGTTCAAAAAAATTCATCAAAAAAGTCCACCGGAAACACACTCTGATGGTGTTGTCCGCGGGGGGTTCCGGTCAGGACATCATGACAAAAGGGTGGTCCGGCCACCTCAATGTGAGGTGGTTCCCGGTGGTATGTTTTGATGAATTTTTTTTGTATTTTCTTCATAAATTCTAGTTCATTCATACCAAATTTTAGCAAAACATTCAATACTAAAGACCGTCAAATGATTTTTGAAAGATAACTATGCCGAATTATACATATAAAACGCAGTTATCTTTAAAAAATCATTTAACTGTTTTCCCGATTGAAATTGGTTCTGAAATTTGGTATGGATTAACTAGAATTAATGAATAACATACACACAAAAATCAGCAAAACATCCCACCTGGAACCACCTCAAATTGAGGTGGCCGGACCACCCTTTTATCATGACGTCCTGACCGGACCCCCCCCCCCCCCCCCCCCCGCGGACAACACCATCAGAGGATGTTTTCAGTGGATTTTTTTAATGAAATGTTTTGAGCATGTTTCTCATCAATTCTAGTTTATGAATACCAAATTTCAGTTCAAACTTAAATCGAGAAGACACTTAAACAAATTCTTGAAACATAATGCGTTTTATATATATATGTACAAAATGGGCCGTAAGAGAAGAGCCGCCACTCCAAGTGGCAACTTTTGTACTACTCCCTCCGTCCCATAAAATAAGTCTCACTTTCCTTTTTGGGTCATCCCAAAAAATTGTTCCCATTTCTCTTTTTGGAAAGTTTTGTGTGGTTAATATTCATTTACCTTTTTCTTACTCAACCACAATCATACATTTCCACTTTATTACCACTTTCTTAAACTTCGATCCAAATTGAAGTGGGACTTATTTTATGAGACGGAGGTAGTATAAGAGGTATTAGCCCTTAATAAGATTAAAATAAGCCCAAAACTCAACAATAGGAGTATAATCTCTCTATTCCCAAAACAGGACTAATATATGTCCCTTCTTCCCATTTTACTCCTTCCTATAATTTCCAATAGATTTATTTTATTAATAAGAAAATCATAGTTTTATTTATAATAAAAACATACAAAATAATAATAATATTTATAAATTAATAATAAAAACGTGAAAAAATAAAAAATAAAAAAATTATAAATACTTAAATAAAATATTTAAAAAAATTAAAAAGTCTAAAAAATAAAATAAATTACCTAAAAATTATTTAAAAATATGTAGGTCACTGCCAATGCGTTCTCTACCTCCCAGCACCACCAGCTCCGGTCGCCGGAAAAAAATGTCATCTTGTGTAAAATATGCCACTTTTCTCTAAAAATGCCATGAAGATAGCATTTTTACTCTTTGAAAATATCCAGCTTTCTCTTCAAAATTGCCATCATGATGAAATTTCCCCTCAACTTGACAATATTTTCCAGCGATCGGAGGTGGCGGTGCTGGAAGGTGGCTAAGGTGGTGGTGGTTGAGGTCTGTATATTTTTTAATTATTTTTTACATTTTTTATTTTTGATTTTGATTTTTTTATATTTATAATTATTGTTTAAAAAATCTATTAGGAAGGACAAAGGAAAGGGTAGAATAGGAAGAGAGTTATTCCTATTTTGGGAATTTAAACTTTAAACTCCTATTTTTACAATTATGCTTTTATTTAGTCCTATTTAGCTAAATCGCCCTATAATTTATATAGTAAAAAAAATTGCACACAATGATATGTTTTTTCGAAAGAAATAATCCATAAAAAAATAGTACTCCCTCCGTCCCCCTATTATTGTCCCATTTCCTATTCACTTGGTCAACACAAATCATTCTTAATCTCTTACTTTATTTATCAATTTTTTATCAAATTTGATTCTGGTTTTTGCGACTTTGTAAAACTTTTAATGTAGTTTATAAATATGTAAAAAAAATCTAAAAAGAATTCTAGTGCGGACAGGGATCTGTTTGCTTTATCGTCAGATAAGCATCGTAAACCGCAATGGGACAATAACAGGGGGACGGAGGTAGTATTTCGTGTTTAGCTTTCACATCTTGTGTCTAAGCGTTGCTTTCTAAGCAACCACTTAAGAGTATTCCAATGGGGTAAACTGGGGTTAGACATATACCTACTCAAACAACTAACCGCATAAGCAATGTTAGGTCTAGTACTCACCATGAGATGCATCACGGACTCAATAGCATTGGAATAAGGAACAAATTTCTTTTTAGCGGTTTCAGAAGCAGTCTTGGGAGACTGATCCTTACTTAACACAAAGTGAGACGCCATAAGGATAGAGACGGGAGTATCAGAATGCATGTTATATTTACTCAAAATCTTTACAATGTATGAAATCTGATTGAGTACTAACACACGTTTACTCCTATCCCTAACAATGTTAGTGCTTAGGATCCTAGCTCTTGGCATCACCTAGGTCTTTCATTGCAAAATTCTCGGTGAGACATTTTTGCACACATTTAATGGCGTCACCCAAAGGACTAACAATCAACATGTCATCCACATAGAGCAATAAAAATACAGGTACAGAGGAAGTGTTTTTAAAGTATAGACAATGGTCGCACTCGGACTTGTGGAATTTCAAAGATGACATACACTGGTCAAATTTGATATTCCACTGCCTCGGGGACTGCTTTAGACCGTACAAGGCTTTCCTAAGCAAACACACATGATCACTCTTCAAGGGTTCCACAAAGTCCTCAGGCTGAGACCTAGATTTTCTTGTCTAAGTCACCATGCAAGAAAGCAGTGGTGACGTCCATTTGCTTCATTCCCCAATCATTATGAGTAACAAGAGCAATCATCGTTGTAATCGTAGTAAATTTAACAACAGGAGCAAAGATTTCAGCATAATCAACACCTTCTTGATCCCTTAGCTACAAGCCTAGCCTTATATCAAATGTCGTTAGTCTCTTCCTTAACCTAATATTCATAATATACTTCATAAGCGGAGAAATCATATGCAATAATTGAAGTTATTGAACTAGACAGGAAGGCAGAGAATTCTATCAATCCGCCTGAAAAAAGTCAAAAACTCGATACCTCTTCTCCAATAGAGACTAAAGAGTATTGACTGAAGTGGTGAAGGCGTGAAGCCCTTAACTCCCTAATTCTCTCAAGTCCTAAAGGAGTAGAATAAGCGAGAAAAAGTAAATACCAAATACACAGGTTCCAGACTCACATGTTTACGGGTGTCACCAACATGTACAAAGGATAGCAAGAGAACTTTGTCTGTCTTACGGGTTCAAGAGAACTCTGTTGCTGCTATGCTTTCGTTGAAATTTAATTAAAGAGAAAAAGCATCTGGAAATTAAGAGTGGGGAGGTTTCTGGGTAACGTGGGATTATGAGTTGGGCTTAGGGTTAGATCACAGGGGGAGATTGGGTATGTATAGGGGTGGGCAAAAATACCAAAAAATCGGTATACCACATTTGTCATACCGAAAAATACCAAAAAATACCGAAATATTGGTATACCGTTATTTTCGGTACGGTATCATACCGTACCGATTTATTTCGGTATGGTAACGATAAATGTTTTCAAATGCCGCGGTATACCGGTATAATACCGTACCGGCTTCATATCTAACAATTACTTTAAATTCTAAAATATTGTAAAAGTCCAATACAATTTTGAAGTCCAAAAATAATACTTAGGTTGGTTGCACATACTAAAATACAAAAAGAAAGGCCCAACTCCCCAAACCCGCTATAAGCTTTTAGCTTAGGCTTCTACTACGTAACTTTCAAACAAATAAGCATAATGACTAATGATCAATGTACTAGTATCCAGAAATTAGTCCAACTTGTTCCATGAGCTTGTGAGTCGCGATAGCTGAGGCGCTGAGTAGCTGACGAGTGAAGAGGGATACTCTTATGTGACGAATGTATCTACATAGGGATCTACTTAGTCGAGGCACACAATTTTGTCTAAAAGTCTATTTCAAATATTTTTTAAATTTTAAACATGACTAAATACACAACATCATATTAGGGATAGATGATTTTGTATCCATGTTGTTTGAATAATTTTATAAATTTTTATATTCATTTAATTATGTCTATATTGTTCAAGTTTTTTTTATGAGAATGTGTTATTTTTTAATGTGTGACATGTTGAACTGCTTAAATATACAAATAATAGTCATTATTCAATATCGAATATGACAGCAATAGATTATTAATTGTATTTTGTAACATTTTAATAATGGATTAAATATGTCGCTAGTAACACCGATTTAGTATATTTTGTTGATATATGATAATTTGTTGTATTGTGAGACATCCACGATAATTTACCGATACCGAACCGAAACTTCGGTATACCGAAATACGATGCAGGTAAACATGAAAAAATTGGAAAGAACTTTCCCCTAAAAGACGATGCACGTAACTAATCATGTTTAAATGGTCTAGATGAGACTACACAAAATTAAATTGTGTGTGACTACTGACCTACACATTTTATGTGTGGCTATTTTATACTATCGTATATTGTTAATATTTTTGTGTACATTCTCGGTATGCCAAAAAAAATAAAATATGATACACAAGCCTTTAAATATTTTCCTTTTACTTGTACTGTGTGTGTTACGTTGGAACTAATATGATAAGTATTGAAAGTGGAGATAACAAGTCAATGAACCACTTCAACAGTACAAATACATAAATTGGATGTATATATATGAAAGATATACAAAAGGGATCAGGAGGGGAGGGGCTTCCATGACATCATATTAAAATTTAAAAAATCTCAAACTGAATACTTATTCTCAAATCAGATGAATACTCTTAAACCCATTGAAATATATTATTAGTGCATCATGCGTGAAGTGCAATATGTTCTCAATCTGGGATTGAAAATAAGACATCCTTGACTAAAGTACGTAGTAAAAAGCAATACAATCATTTAGGAGTATTAAGTACACATACAGAAAGATGAAAATTGCTAGATTATTTGGGCATTATATATTGTAGTCACGTTTTTTATACTCATTTCTTACATTACTATTTACATGAGAACCAAACTACATATACGTATAGTAATGTTTGGAAGATCGGTCAACGGTCGTCTCCCATTCGTAGCTTGGGTTCTCCAACTCAACAAAAGACCAAAACACACACATTCTAGTATACGTAGTATTTAGAAGTAGACCACATTCTAGTACTTGTATATCTTAGCATTACTTTACTATACTTCGTACTATTACACGGTATAGGAATCATTGAAAGCGGCATCTTGATTGAGGCCGGCCGCCGCCGCCATAGTAGCCGCCACGCCACCGGGAGTGGTAAACCCTTCTTTATTCCTTGCTTCCGCTCTCACAACCGCAGCCGCATCCTCCGCCGTCACGGTCTTGTCATCCATAAGCTTAGCACTCGCATCCTTGCGCATTCATTTATTAGTTCATAATCAAAACATACCAAGTCTGAAGTAATAAAATTAATCGAGAGTAATGTAGTTTTACAAATCCTATGGACTATTTAATTTATTTTCGTAGGACTAATAAGCTCCATCAAGATTTAATTCATACTCCCTATCACTAATTATCCGACCTTAATTAATTGAAGTACTGATTTTGTTAGTGAATTTTCTTACGCAGAAAAGGGTGTATATATACCGTGAGAACATCACCGAGCTTGGTTTTGAACTCATCCTTAGTGGTTCTAGCGTTGATTGTGGCGGCGCGTTGAGCTTCCGCTCCTACCCCACCAGGCAAAACCGCTCCAAAACCGGTTGCTCTGACTTCCGCCGCCTGTATCGCGGCCGCGTCGCTTTCATCCACCGGTTTCTCCCCGGCGGAGATAGCAGACGCCTCAAGGGCTTCGCCGATGGTGATTCCGTCGCTCACTATACCATGCTGTGGGCCCCCGGGAGAACGCTCCTTCTCATCTCTTGCATTTTCCAATGGACGGACATATCGCCCCACAATCTTCAATTAAAGAATCATACCAAAATGACAATTAATGATTGAAACGTTACTATGTAGTTCCAAAATTAATTAACTTGCTAGTTTGATTTTTGAAGTCAAGCTTGATTTATAGTTGAGTATATGAACAACAGAATAATTTGAATAATTAAATTATACATTTAAACAATTTATGAAAACGCTTTAGTGATTATATTTGTATATAACTTATAAAATTTATACTTTTATGAAAACATTTTGAAAAAGAAATGTTTAGATATACGTTTCATTTTCAAAGTAATTTTGTATTAAAAAAAAATCATTGATCACATTTGAAATTCATTGACCAAAAAAGCGACTTTTTCACCTTTTCAAGATGGATAGAATAGTTTAACTTGAGAATCTTGAAATACTTGGACTTTTTGAAGAGTCAAAATAGAAAAAATTTGTACTTAAAATTAATTAAAGAATGATATTTATTGTGAGGCATAATTAATTGCTCGATCGTACAGAATATTCTTACATCAGCTCCGACAGCTTCCGTAACTACACGATTGCCGGCGATGTCAGTTCGTGAAACAGAGACGCCGCGGTCTCTTACGACGTCGGTCACTTCATCTGGGTCAACTCCGGCATACCGGGCGTTACGATCGGCGGCTGATTGCATGACGGCGGCAGGACCGCCCTTCTGGCACTGGCCGAGCGTGGAGTTCTCGGCAGACTGCATGGCGGCGGCGTCTTGGAGAGTTATGGGTTTGGAAGCGAGCTCGTCGGAGACGCTGAAAACGTCTTGATATTTGATGGGCTCTTGGAGAACGTTCTCCAGCCTTCGTGGCTGTTGCTGGCTCATTTTATTAAATTTGAAACTGTTAGGTTTGGTGATATAAATGAAGCTGATGTTGTGTGACAATATCAGGTGGCGGAGAGGGATTTATATAGCGGCGAGACGGCGGTAAGAGGCGGTGGTCGGTGGAGTGACAGATCATAAGGGTGGAGTTACGTTGAAAGAAACGTGTTGAGAGGATAATGCAACACCTCAATCTCTGGAAAAATAAACTAGCCTACTAAATTCTTCTAGCTTCTTCTACTTGCATTATATTGCATGCCAACTAATTCATGTGCGAATTCTGTTTTTTACTTTTTTGGGAGATATTCTGCGAAGGTTTTATCTTTTAATTTACTCCATTTCTTCCGACATCTTGCAAAAAAAACGGTTGTTATACCGTGGGAGCGGTGTAGGGTAAGCGCTCCCACAATTATATGAAATGTAAATCGTTTGAAAAAACATGTAACTTCATATTAATAAATACGTAAATTACACTCATTCAATTGTAACTCATTAAAATGTAAACTGCTTATATTGAAATGTAATTTGGAAACAGGTTAGATGTAACTTGGGAAATGTAACTTTAGCCTATTTACATGTAAAACGCATTTACAGAGACGTAACTACATTTATTAATCAATATACATACTAGTATAAACCAATTACTCCATCCATCAACATAAACACAATGGAGATGGAGATAAATACCCAATTCTTTAATTTATATACGAAGTATATATAAAAGAGCACACTTCCCTTCCCCGATTCTTTCCACAAAATCAAAGAGCATTATTATAGATTTAGATTCAAAGCAAGAAGAGACATAGAGTCGGTTTTACAAGCAGCAAAACATATACGCAGAGCTTCTTCAACAGATTCAGAGCTTTCTCTTCAAGGGTGGGGGTGTCAATTCACGATTCAAAGAAGTGCACAGAGAAAAACCCATTTGAATTGGTAGGGGACTGCTCTGCACAAATCCGGATCCAATGAGGGCTTGCGATGTTTTCTATGTCTCCAAATCGAATCTGCGAGGGGAGGAACGGCCTGTCTAATATTTGGGAAGGAAGAAGATGGCTTTGTTTTAATTAAAATTGTGCCGTTTAGGGATCGGCACACCGTGCGCACGGTGGGCCGATCCCACGGTATAATCTGCGGAAAAAAATAACATTCATGGAAAAAGATAAAAATAAAGTTAAATCATTCAATTATTAAAATTTAGATATTTAAAAATTTACTTCGTAAAAAATAAATTTAATTTACTCTCATACTTCCATATCATTAATGGTTATGTTTACTTTTCCTTTGCAGAACGCGCATATATAGCTTGCATCACATATAATGACCCTTTCTTCTTTCCTCATATCAAGATTAAATTTCATTTTGTGAGCTTCCACTTTCCTTCACCAAAGTAATTCATTAGATCAACATCATATAACTTCCCAGCCGAGATCACTACAAGAATTTAAGTTTTTAGTTGCAGAAAGTTTGTCACTAAATCTGTCATTAACAACATTTGCGACGCGTATTAATGGCGGAAATTCTGCCACAGAAATCGCGCGGCCAAATGTCTTAGTGACAGAATTTCACTTCCGTCGCAAATCTATGGCGGAATTTTGCAGCTACGGATTCCGCCGTTGTTAATCGTGTCAGATATTTCATCACAAAATATCGTCACTAAATTAATTATATTAATAAAAATAAAACATTCAGTTTGCTCCAATTGTGTATATATATATATGGCATTAATTTTGAAAAAAATAATAGAGTACTCTAGACATATGCATGTGATTGAATCTCAATAATGTACAAAGTACATAATTAAATATATATATGGTTATGTAGCCAAAAAAACTTAACTTTTATACTCCCTCCGTCCCTTAAAACTTTGTCAATTTTCCTTTTTTGGATGTCCCACTAGCTTTGTCACTTTCCCTTTTAAGTAAAGAATTTGTGGTTCCAGTTATTTCTCTCTCCTCTACACAAACCTCAACCACACAGTTTTTACTTTATTAATTCTCATGCCGGTCAAACTTGGCAAAGTTTTAAGGGACGGAGGTAGTAGTAAACATACTTTAACAACCAACATTCATTGTGCGTACCATAAGTAAAGTCATACCACAATCCAAAAATACAACTAAATTCATAATATGGATACTAGTTGAATATATAATTGGAAATAACAAATACTTAAGTGTTTTGAGAATCTTGAGAGGATGATGGAGTAAAATGGAAAAAACTTGGTGCATCCATTCCAAGTGTTTTCAGAAATGGAAGCCATGTTTGCTCAAAAGTTTTTGACAGTGAACAAGGATCTTCATCTAGCAAGCTTTCATCCACGAGGGGGCATTACCGCTGGGCATTCCTCGCCTTGTGAAGATAACCACTTCCGCACGTGTTCATTCCAATAGACACAAAATTCATGTGCACGCTGTGAAGATGCTAAAGCTTTTCGGTTTTTTTTTATTCCAATTGTTGAAGGAAAGCTTTTGCATACTTTCCTAATTCGAATACTTTTTTGTTTCTTTCTCCAGCGATTTCCAAATATTTGGAATTCAATTCACCAACTACAGCTTTAGATGCATTCTTGGAGCCCCCAATTTCAGCTTCAGATTGTTTAGTTTGCTGAATGTGCTCATTAAATTCATCAGTCAACTTCAAAATAGCCTCCTGTACACATAAAATATATTTGACATTAAACGAACTCTTATAACATTTAAGTAAATTGATAAAAAGATTAATACAATTCAATGCATATAAGGAGGGAATATAAGTATTAAGCAATACACAAGTATTAACAGTAAAACGGTTTTGCTCATACTAGGAGCTTCTCTAGGAATTGAGCTTTGCTTTAAACAATATAAGTGCTAATAGTAAAACAGTTTAGTTTCTGCTAGTAGTTTCCTTCAAACAACAAAAAGTTATCCCAAATGTAAAGATTAGGGACTTGAATTTCTTCAAAATGACATTTCAAAATCAAGAATAACTTGTAGCTTCATTTGCTATAAAAAAAACATGCTAAAAAACCATAAACAACATAAGAACTTGAAACATGCTCAAAAACCATATACAACTTAAGAACTTGAGCTTCTGTAAAAATAGTTTTCAGCAATATAAGTGTGGCTAAAGGGTCAAATAAGCCCATGTACCTTTCTGGATTGTTCAATTTGCCCCCCGAAGTAAAAAAAGCTCCAATTGGCATCCTGAACTCCATAAAAAGATTCAAATTTTACTTTTTGCAGGTCACAAGCCGGTCACCGCCACATCACCCGGTAGGGTGTCAACTGTGCATGTGACATGGCAACTTAGGGGGTCAAATAAGCCACTGAACCCGACTGAAATGTTCAATTTACCCCCTCAACCCTTAAAAATTTTTTGACATTTTTTAGGGTTGAGGGGGTAAATTGAACGATTCGATCGGGTTCAGGGGCTTATTTGACCCCCTAAGTTGTCACGTCACATGCACAGTTGGCACCCTACCGGGTGACGTGGCGGTGACCGGATTGAAACCTGCAAAAAGTGAAATTTGAATATTTTTATCGCGTTCAGGGTGCCAATTAGAGCTTTTTTGGGTTGAGGGGGCAAATTGAGCAATCCGAAAGGGTACAAGGACCTAGGGTGACCCTTTAGCCTATAAGTGTTGATAGTAAAACATTTCAGTTCATACTTGGAGATCTGTCATAACAGTTTCAAATAGATGTTGTTTAACAATATCCCAAGTGAACAATTTTCTATGCTTGCACTTTCTACACGAACATTCAATAACCCCACTTGGATATAAGTTTACCGCCTTTTGAATAAACTCATTAACTCCTTTTTTGAAATCTTCATTTAGAAAGCCTCGATTTTCGAGTCTTTCATACATCCAAGACCTATTATTGCTCATTTTGAAATCTAAACATATAAATGCCATTAAATATTAGATCTTCACCTCACATAGTAAAGGAAATTAATTAATTTAAGGAACTTTCAGAACCTCGTGACTACTTTCTTATCAACAATATATGGAGTATATATTAATAGTACGTAGATAAAAAACTTCAATTATTTATCTTTCAATTAATATGAAAATAAACAACAACCAACAATGTTTAATTTTAATATAGTTCTTAAATTTCTTTGAAATTTTCCTGCATATTTCAAAGCAAGCAACAAAAACACGTACAATAAGTATTATAATATTGTTAAACATGGTGTCATTTGCATTTTAGCATCTACATGGACCTAGCACACAATATAATACATATGTTCATTTTTCTTTGTAAATTAATCATAAAATAATTAAATAGATCGGAAGAAGCTAATAAAGAATGTAATAATAAGTTTACTTTATTAGTAATTAAGAACTAATTAGCTAAAAAAAGACATATAGATTAAATTTTAGTTTAATAAAGAAATGATAAATTTCTTACCTCTCTCGTATGGACATGGCAAAATGAGGAGAGCTTGTAGAGAAAGTGGTAGATGAGATATTTGTGCACAATGATTTTGGTTGGTGAGTAGAATTTATGATGTGTAATTCAGTGATGGAGTTTAGTGGCGGAATAATTCTGCCATTGTTTCGTGACGACATTTTCAGCCACAAAAATCAGCCACAAATTATCGTCCAAGATGGACCCGTCACTAAAGTCTGCCACTAAACAGCGACATGCATTAGCGGTGCATATGTATCTGTCTTTACATTCCGTCATAAATTCATGGGGCAAAGTATTTCGTCACTAATTTCCGCCACTATTTTCCGTAATTCTTGTAGTGGATACGATTGAGGCACATGGGCGGAACATGTTTTACATATTTGAGGACGAGCTGACATATAATACTCGTTGTCAAGATGAAGTCTCATATCCTGACAATCTTGCTTCTTTCTTGATTTTCCATTTGTAGCGTACCAAAGTCACTGTTTTGGTAGGATGAGAAGAAACTTCCATGGGGAGTAACATGGAAAGAAGCACCAGTATCAGCAATTCAAGAGCTATAATCATAAGCAATGTTTAGGATATTACCTTCTCCAATGAGATATAACAGATCTTCTTTTGAGACTATTGTAACGGTACTCTTCTCTTCTTGCTTCTTCATTGGCCTGACTTGGTCTAGTTTGACGTTGCCGACCTTATAGTCTCTCTTGAAGGATCTACAATGCATTTTCGTGTGGCTCATCGTAGTAATAACATGTGATCTTCGAGTAGGACTTAGATCTAGCTCGAGATTGATGCGGATCACAGCTTTTACTACATCAATGAGTCTCATTCCTACCCTGGTTCCCAATAACATTGGCCTCATGATTGAGAGACTCGCCTCGTTCTATTTTCATTGCTTCTACACTAAGAATGTTATCACTAACGGCAC